GTCGCTTGGAACGGCTGCGAGCGGGTACTCCACTGTCTCTGTGATAGTGGTCGTCTGGCATCATCATCGGTTTCGGTCCACGTCACCTTGATCGGCTTGCCGGCGCTCGCCTTCAAGAACTGGCGCAAGTCGCTCACACGCTCAAACTTGATCGACGATGCTCGACTATGGAAAACGACCTTAGCCATGCTGCGGGCCTGCTCCAAGGTTGTTGTGTCCGCCGCGTAGAACTCAGTCGCCATGCGAGCGACACTGCTGAGGTGCGGGTTGTAGCTCCAAAAGACTAAAGTTCGCAAGCAAGTGAGTCACGAGCAACGAAACAAAGCGATATCGCGCCCAAAGCCACTTACTGTCAGCAATAGCGTTAAAGCCGGAAGTGAACTGTTTCATCCCGTCTCGATCCAACACAAACGATCGTGGTTCGAGCTTGTTTGAGCTGAGCCTGGCCATGCGCGACGTTGTCAGCAACGCCACGACCGCTGACTGCCGTTGCTTGGTCGGCAGTGCGGCTCTTGCCTTTTGCAGGTAGAAATTCTGGTCTGTATGCGACGAGGTCGACTCGACTTGATGCAGCTTGCACTGCAGGGCCAAAGTGACTGGCTGATATTTTCCCTAAAGTGTCACCCACCAAATGAGTCAAAGCCCTCACGCATCCTTCACAGCCAAGAATGCGAATGGCGTACATCGATCTTCTCATGGACAATGGCCCAGCCGTCAACACCTTGCCGGTTTTCAGGGCAGAGGGTGATGCGGCCTTCGGCCGGAGCTGGCGTCGATTGCCCTGCCATTGAGGCGTGAAGTTCGGCCTTCCAAACTTGCGCGTTGACGAACAAGTCGGGGGGAGAAGGGCCAGGGACGGTTCCAGGAAGAGCAGCTCGGATCGACACCCACCGAGCATCGGGGTTATTTTTGAGAGCCAACGCGACCGCCAGCAAGATGCGCAGATTCAAGATCGTGACACAGAACGGCTCCCAGCCTTGCCACTGGCCAGTCGTGGCGATTGACTCAAAGCTTTTGAGCGTCTTGAGTAATTCGTTGGTCGCGTCGACCCAAGGACTGTTCAGGCCGTCTGAAACAAATAAACACAAAGGCTGTGAGACGAATACAGGAAATCTTGTGAAACAGCGAACAAAACCCGACGACCACGTACCGTGGGCGATCAAACTAATCAAGTCCACTCGTGGAAACAAAAGTAGCTGGTTGTCGCGTGACCTGAAGAGCAAGCCAAGCGCCACCAACTCGTCCGCAACAATGCCAGCAATGTCAGACGCACCATCGCAGAGTGACATGAGCTTGAGGAACAGCTGGTTGGTGATCTCGGTTTTTCCGAGAGTGTCCGCTGTTGCAGAGGCCAGTGCAATGACAGATCTGGGCAAACCAGCCACATTTTGAATCTTGCGCATCAATTGTCCGTCAAACCGCCAGTGGGGAGACACAATTTGCCCTTCCGCGAGCGCTTTCTGCTCGAGCTCTTCGAGCAAGCTGGCCGTGGCTGACCCAGACAGGGGAGCAACATCAACCGGCGCAACGGGGATGGAGGAGCCAATACCGAGTACACGAGAAATCGCACTGCTCAGCTGCTCCGACTTGGTGCCAGCAACCATCATCCACGTTGGGGTCCCGAAAGTCCGGCAAATACCCTGCAGCGGACCCAGAGCTTGAGCCCAGAATCGTCGTGCAAGTTGCATGTCCGCTTCAGGCTTTTTGTCGCCCGTGACAGCTCGCAAGCTCTGGCAATCCGCCAACTCGTACTTGGGATCAACGCGCGCATTGAGAAGACGAGTGGCCTCGTCTATCGCAATAAAGATGTGAAGCTTGGCAGGATCAATGGTGCGTTTCGTTGCTTCCGTTCGGCGGATCAGATCCATCGCGGCCTTGACAGAAATGTTGGCCACGGTGTCCAACTCAGGGGTTGCAAAGTAGCTGCTCAAAAGCCGCTTGGCGATGGCATGTTCCGGGTGGCGTTTCTCCTCGGTTGTTGGGGTCCAGCCCGTGCCAAAACTGCCATTGAAGGTCAAAAAGAGGCACAAGTACGGCACCTCGGGTAGACAGACCGTTTCATGCCCAATCCGTTGGGTCATGGAGCGGCATGCTGGGGCCACAACAGTTTGCAGCGTCTCCAAACACATCCTAGTCTTGCCACAGCCAGGCAGTGCCGCGGCGAGCGCAACAGGATAGATTGTTCGGTCGTCGGCACGCTGATGCACACGCAGACGAAATGTTGTCACCAGCCGACGGAGGGATGCCAGTGTGCTCTCGCGATCCTGGAGGGTGTAGTTGTGTGCTTGCATGGCACTCCTCTACCAATTCCAACGCTGTGAGTAAAACTCATGCGTTCACAGGACACACACGCCATCCAACTTACAATCGCCTGATCAGGTCGCGGAGCCAAGTTCGGGAATGTTGACTCAAGTGCCTTTTGAAGCACATCTGCCGTCGCAATCAGTGCTGTGGGATCAGAAGGGACTGCATGCGTCACAAATCCACACGACCAATCGTGAGCGAAAACACAGACACAGACACACACACACACACACACACACACACACACACACACACACACACACACACACATGTCAGCTTTGACATGTACCTTGCTCTTTGCGCCACTTTTGAATCCATCCGATCACGGACCTGGCCATCTCGCGAGTCGTAGCTTGATTCGAGTAATCGTTTGGGATAGAAACGACACGCTTTGCGCATCGTGACTCGATATTTTCCGGGACGACATCCTTGAAAATGCTCAGCTCGAGTTTCATAGCCGTGAGGTTGTCCTCGTTGAAATCGTCGTAGTTAGACAGTTCCCTGAGGAGATAACGGCGAAGGTCAGCACTCCTCCAGATCAACCCTGTTGTCACGCCGGTTCAAAGTCAGTCGACAACACAACTCTTCACTCCAAAGCAGTGGACGGATCGTACTCATAAGCGTGCGGAGACTCCCGGGTAGCTTCTTGATCATCTCAGCCTCCTATCGTTCAAGCAGAAAAGCAACAATCAGTCCCCCCTCCAATCGTCCATTTAGAAACCCAGCATGTGGATACTGACTGAAGGGGGTGCTGCCTGGCTGCTGCTGCCAGCATAGGAAGTGTCCATGGGGATTGCAAAGCTTGCTGCCGGCACACTTCTGCTGCTGCTGCTGCTGCTCGCTTGACCAGCACTCTGCTTTGAACACACATCGTCAGCGTCAACCGTCACAACAGAAACAGCACGTTTCCCACTCACAGAGCTGGAATTGGAGGTGTTCATTGGCCTTGCGGTCGGCCTGTTGCTTTGGCTGTTGTTGCTGCTGCGGCTGCCGCTGCTGCTGCTCACCTGACCGACTCTTTGAGCTCCCTACGTGAGAAGAGCCTGTGAGTTTCGCAAAATTGGAAAACAATCCAAAAACTCAGAAACTGTCTCACTCACTGTGTCGTCGATCGTTACTGTGAAAGTTGAAGCCCGCTTTGCACGCGCCAAAAATTTCATCGATCTTCGAGCGCTTGGGTCGACTCTGCTGCGGGGTTGTGTAAACATTTCATCCTACCAAGATAGAACTCAAGGTTAATACTCCAGAGTGTTGGACAAGTCAAGTACGGAAAGGGAAATCAGCCCGGAAACGAGAGCCATTGTTGTTGCTTCACTCTTCGTCGGATTGCGACGTGATCGCGGTCTGGCAGCTCTAAAATAAATACTGCTCCCGCTTTGCACAGGGAAGGAAGGCGAGTGGCTGTGGGTGCGTGGGTGGATGGGAAGTTGGACAGCACGAGCTGCAAGCAGAAAAAAATGGCGCGCAACTGCCAAGACACCATTGAAAGCAAAGTGTTCTCACCCCTCGCCCTATCGCCACCACTGCCCGGCACCCCAAAACCAGTTCGTTCAAAGCGTTCGTGTCGAAGACGAGAAGGGTACACCAATACAGTCCAGGACGAAACCCAATGACAGACAATGACAGGCAGGTTTCGGCCCACTTACGGTTCTGCCACGCTTATCGACGTGACCTCCAGGCGAGTCCACTGCGTGACGCTTTGAAGAACCGGCCGAACTCATCGCAAAAACTGAAAAACAAGAACAAAAGACTGATTCAACCTGTCAAAGTGATTTTTTTGATTTTCGACTTCGTGTCGTTTATGGTGAGTTTGGTTCTTTTATGAAGCTTCATCATGGCAGAAGACGCTGTGTTGAGATGACATCTTGCTGATGGCTTCGCTTTTCTTTTGTTTTTCTTTTGGTTGTTTTTTGTCGTGAGTTTGGTTTTGACTTCAAATGCAAGCTGGAATGGAGCTCCCAGGGTGCGCTCTGTGCTCTCCTACTTTCTCGATAAATCACGCAATGACCTCGCATCAATAACCATGGTGGTATTGGTGGGTAGGGGGTGAAAGGGCCCTCAGTGCTGAACACGCTGAACGCAGCAGCGATCGCAATGTGGTCGTCGTTTTTTTCTTTTTTCCTTGTTTTTTTGCATTAGTGTTGTTCGTCCCACCGCGTCGCGCATGGATGTCCTTGTCCTCTTGGTGTTGCTCTGTAGCATGGGGCGGCAACCGAGATCGGCAGCAACCGAGATCGGCAGCAACCATGACCAAGTGGCGTCTTATTGTGACGACGATCCTCACAAGTCGCACCCATCCACAGTGCGATCGCACCATGCACTCTCAAACACGCATACACGTACGCACACGACGATCGTGTGTGCTGGTCTGCGGCTTGGGGCTGAGCGACGGCGGCGTCGTTTGAAGCGGCTTTGTCATTTTAACCAATAAAATTGTGGTCTTGATTTTTGTTTTATTGTTTTGACAGCTCCTCCATTTGAGCACTCTGTTGAGGAGGGCGGCATGAAATTCCGACAAAAACCGCTCCTGTAGCACCGATTGGACCTTGCTGTGCCCATCAGAGCGATGGCGATGAACGTTGGTGCTGAGGAGGGATATCGATCAAATGCATCCAATTCAGCCATTCGTCCGCCAAAAGACAAAACACCCATCTTTTGCCCTCGAGCTCCACGATGCCACGTCGTCAGAGTCGTGCACAAGGGCCTGATTCAACAACAAGGGCACTGCTCTGAAGTGTGCAAGCAAGGACTCTTTCACTCGTCTCCCCTTGCGTGGGTGCAACTGCTGAGCATTGTTGAAATCCTTCAAGTCTGCTCTTTTGCTCTTTGATTGATGGTTTTGCAGTTGTTCTTCATTCCTTCGATTTAGATCTACTCTTCATTTTTCTTTTCTTTTATTCTCTTCATTCCTCGCAATGGCACTGCAGCAGTCGCAGCACTGCTTGCATTGAGCATTGCCGTCCTCAGCGCTCACGGTGCGTTTTGTTGTGGCTCACTTCAGCTCCTCCTCCTCCTCGTCCTTCTCCTTCTTCTTTATTCTGCTTCTTTCTGTCTTTCTCTTGCTTTGATCGATGCGCGTCATGTGTGCTCTTGGAGTGGCAGCCAGAAGACCGAGCTCTCATCGTCTCTCCTTCCTCTCTCGCTCTCTCTCTCACTCTCACTTTCTCTCGCTGCTTGCTACACGTCGCATGTTTTCACCCCCCACACCACGAACGCGCGTCATCGCGGTGTGTGCCTCCTGAGCCTGAGCCTCACTTATGATACCTGCTAATGGAGACCGACTGTGATCCTCTCTCCCATCAACTTTACCCCAATGTCACGTCACTCACTTGACTCGCTCTGGATCATAGTGTCGCTCTGATTCACAGTTTGACTTGCCGCACACAGCGGCTCAGGCGCCCGCCACATCAAGTCGGAAGTGGCTGCTGGCTGGTCTCGCATTGCCGCATCAAACTCGCATCGCAACCCGCCAGTTATGCGGCTCCTCAAATCTCGACCCAAGTCTCCGTGGGGACTCGTTTGTTTCAGAAAATCATACGTACAGGGACGGCGAGGCAAGTGCCGGTGGCGACGAGCGCAGAGAACGAGCGGATCGGTGTGGCAGAAGTTGGCTGGATCAGGCGGTGAACCGCCGAGACAGAAGCAAAACGCGGGAAACTGAGCATTCTGGTCAGAGAAGAGTGGCAAAATTCAATACCACAGCAATCCATAACAACGTCATGCGTATGACAGGCGATCGAATCATTGTATTGTTGCACTGTTGTCTCGGGCCCAGAACCAGGCCAGTAATAACGACAAAGGCGCCTCGATAGACACCTGCAGCGACAAGTCTGGCACATCTAACAGCATTCCGCACTCTCACTCTCGCTGTCATCCGAACTCTCGCTGGAAATATCGAGCTCGGCCTTTTGGACTTCGCATTTCGCGCAAGCGCACATAAACAAATAGTTTTCTCGCAGCGTTGCCATCCTTCGTGATCGACGCATGTGTCGCTGCTCTGGAGTCAAATAGCTAATACAAATCTCGTCACCTGCAGAGATGTCCCGTTCCGCCCGCATGTGCAGCGTTGCATTGTTTTCTGTAAACGTCGGTACTGCGTTCGGCTGGCAGTTGTGGTTGCCTGGAGCCAAAAGACAAAAAAAGCAACCAAACAACAAACACATTGCAATCAGTCGTCGAACAAGAGGCCAAGTCGGCCAATGCAAAACAGCGCGCGAACACATAGCCCCTGCCCCCGTGAAAAGCCATCTGTCGACATTGTCGTCTCATCATTCTCTCTACGTACAGCAGCTTTGGAGACAGTACAACGCGGAACCCTCGCAAGCGTCAAACTCGCCAGAATGCTCGTCAATGTCGTCCAATAGCTTCTCGACAAACTGGTCGCGCGTTTTGGCGTCGCTTTCAGACAAATTGAGACGCTCCACTGCGACGAGGTACATGTCTAGCGCTGTTGTGCCAACGCCTTGGCCATTCATACCAACCAGGGCGAGCAGCGAGCGAAATCCATGTGTCGTGAACAGCTCTGGAATGCGATCGTCGTACAATGCAGTCTTGAACAACTCTTGGATGAAGGCCAGCTGCTTGTCGTACTTTTTGTCGAGAAACTTGTGGATAAAATGCCCTTCGGCGTCAGCGTAACAGCGGTAGAATTGCTGGAAGGCTGTAAATGCATCCTTGCTGTTCTTGTCAAGGCCCTGCCGCAGCATGGCAATGATGCGTGCGAGCAGCATGATGGAGGTCGTTTCCGGTGGGTAGTGAATGGACTTCCAGGCAGATTGGAGCAGCTGCAGGGGATGGTCAGCGTCGTTGCGGGTGCACAAGATTCGATGGTGGCTCTCCATGGCTGCATCGCGGCACGCAGCATTGCAAAACACAAGCGAGCACGTCTCGCATGTGACAATGTCCTGTTGGGTTGCGATCGTCAGGTTGCACTGGTCCATGAACGGCAGCTCGAACGGCGTGCGCGGCTTGGCGACAGCGCTCCCAGCCGCCACCACCGTTGTTGGCGCAGTGGCAAGCCGTGCAGCCATCTCGCCGGGCGACTCGAGCGATCGCATGCATTGGTGGCAAGCCTTGTATCCGTACGCCTCATTCCACAGGAACTGTCGATGACATGGTATATCGTCAATCCATCATCATCATGCATCATCATCCAATCGCATCATCGATAGGGTGGAAGGGAACCTTGTCGGTCGCTCGCGTGCGCCATGTGTGCCACGGATGCAACCCGCGTTTGCGACCCAGCCAACACACACACACACACCCTCTCCTCACCCAAAACCACCCACTGGAACACCAACAGCCACACAGATCACCCCAAGACAACTGGTGGACGCACCTGGGCGCAGACGAGCGGCGCTTCAGTGAAGACAATGTCGCCCTTCTTGAAGGCCTGAGTGGCAAAGAGGCCTCTGCCCTTGCGCGCATCCTCGACGCGTACTTGGACGTGCTTGCCTGCGCATAGAGTGGCAAAGTACTCGTCGGCGAGCGGGAGCGGGCGCGCAGACACGAGCTCGGCCGCGGGCATCGAGTCAGCCACCGACTTGCTCTTCCCTTTGCCATTTGCCTTGGCAGTGGACGACATTTGTGCGTTTGTTGTTGGGTTTGTCGATATGAAGAGTGAATGAAGAGGAAATCCAAGCCAAAGCATGTTGCTGGAAATCAACACCTCAGCCGGTCAGCGTTACAATTCACTGCAACAATCTCAATCTCAATCTCAACCGCGCGCGCTTGTCCTCCAGACCCCACAACACAAGTACAGCATCCCCAAAAAAAAAAAAAAAAAAAAAACCAACTACAAATCAATTCACAACCCAATCAATTGTAGGGATGGGTTCTCATTGTAAACGTTTCGTCCTCGTTCAGCGTTTCATTCCCCGTTTTTGTTTGTTTGTTCGCTCCTGAAAGTCAGCTTCAACCCGTCTCTGCCGCCTTGTCAACTTGCCTGCTTTGCTTTTTACAACCCGCTAATTGTCGACTTACTACATAGAATGACTGACCGTGGCATGAGAGCTGTGGGGAGCGTGTGCAACGCAATGGACAGCGCGCAACAGCCAGCAGGAACAAGCACAGCGCTGATTGTTCGCAACGAAACGCCATTCAACGCAGAGACACCCGCGATGCTCCTGCCGCGCGCCGTTCTCACTCCAAGCAGCCAGTTCTTCATTCGATCGCATGGCGAAGTGCCGAATGTCAATGTGCAGCAGTACAGGTACAAAGCCACATCCAAACTGCAATACCCAGCCCTACAAACAACGCTCTGCGTTCATCGATGATGGCAGGATAAGCAGGCCTCCATCCTGGTGCACACACATAGATATATACACACTGGCCTGACTCTGCTGCTTTCGGGAATCTCTTTTTGCGACATGCCCTTCGTTGGATCAGACTCAAAGTTGGCGGCCTGGTGAAGAACGAACTGCTCGTCAGCCTGGCCGATTTGTACAGGCTCCCTTGCGAGACGGTGTCTGCCACTGTGGTTGTAAGGCCAACATGATCGATTCTGTCATCCTGCAGTTGTTGTTGATACTTTTCTTTTGGATGCCCAAGTTCACCGCGTTGAATCCAGTGCGCAGGGAACCGCCGAAATGAAATGTCCCGCATCAGCCCCATCAAGGGTGTTGGGTGGGACTCTGGGGCGATTGGCAACGCAGTGTGGTCTGGAGTCAAGCTATATCGGCTGCTTGAGCTGGCGGGAGTGCAACAGGTAAGCTGCCTCATGTTTTCCGCTAAAGTTGTGCAAAACCTCATGAAGCGAGCATCTCGGTGCCTGTTGCCGGGTTTGTTTGGGGGTTTTTTTCTGGTTCAGAACGTCCGACACGTCTTGTTTGAAGGCTTGGATCACATTCACGAGCAGCAAGCGTCCACCTATCAAGTGTCCATTCCATTGAGCAAGGCCGCGTAAGTTTGACGGCACAGCTTGTTGCAAAATATGCACCCCTCCATGCTCATCTCGCCTTCACTGCTGCCTGCAGAGATCCAAATGGAGACGTTCTGCTGGCCTATGAGGTGCGCTGCGAGCTGACCAAACAGAGAGGAACTTGTCGTCGCTGACCTTTGGCGTGCTTCAAACAATGCAGATGAATGGCGAGCCGCTTGCCCCTGCTCATGGGTTTCCGCTCCGGGTCATAGTACCGGGTTTTGTTGGCGCAAGGAGCGTCAAGTGGATTCAGAGCATTACCCTGAGTGACTGCGAAAGCGATGGCATGTTTCAGCAACACGACTACAAGCTGACGCCTGGCTTTGTGCGTGGGCTGCTCTGAGCGTGCCTTGCTTGCACTTTGACCATAGTTTGCATGAGTTCGACACACTGACCCAACCGATACCGCCTTTGACACTCAGATTGACGCAGAAACCTTCAAGCGAGTGTGGCGCGAGTATCCAGCCATTCAGGAAATGCCCGTGCAAAGCGCCATCTGTTTCCCTCCGAATGGCTACAAGCATGCTTCCGGAACTCCGTTGACAGTGCGAGGCTATGCGCACAGCGGCGGTGGGAAGCGAATCACACGGGTCGATCTGTCGGTCGATGGCGGCAACTCCTGGTCACATTCGGCCATCCTGACGCGAGGAACAAGCAGTGATGCGCCGTACGCTCACGACTGGTCTTGGACTCTGTGGGAAGTAGCCGTACCTTCGCTCTCCACGCCCTGTCAGCTTGCCTGCCGTGCATGTAATTTGTCGAGACGAGAAGATTGCAGAAGGGCTTGGTGTTGAGAGTCTGTCATTCTGGCCATGTTTTTTGGTGATGTCACTGATTTGTCGTGTGCATGCTTGTGCCCTGGCTGCTTCTTTGCTTCAAAAAAAGGGGACGCCGCAGGTAACTCTCAGCCAGCAACGGTGGACTCGATTTGGAACTTTCGAGGACTTTTAAACAATGCTCAGCATCGCGTCCGCGTGCTTCCATCCGCCAGTCTCTGATGTCTTGTATTGAATGAATTCTGTTTGTTTCTTTGTTGCGGCGTTGTAGCCGAGCAGCCTGCGACCTCATGAGCTTGTGCTGAATTGCGTTGTTTTAGCTTTGTGATGCTCAACTCCAATCTGATTTCCAATCTGGTGTCAATCAGTTGTCTGCTGTGAGCTCAGTTCTCAAACATAAACAATCGACCACTCTAGCTGCAAAATGATTACTGCACGCGCACAGGCGCTCACAACACGGCTCCTGCAGACTCGCAATCTGACGACCCAGTCGGCAGCCGCCCCGACACCGACGCCGACGCCGCGCCGCCTCGAGGGTCGTGTTGCGATTGTCACTGCGTCCACCGACGGCATTGGCTTTGCGATTGCCAAGCGCTTTGGCGACGAGGGTGCGAGCGTGGTTGTGAGCAGCCGTCGCAAGGAGAATGTCGATCGCGCCGTGGCCGAGCTCAAGAGCAGCAACAGCGCAATGCGAGTCATTGGTAAGCGGGGGGGAGTAGGGTTAGGGTTAGGGTTAGGATTGCATGTCGATGTGTGTGCGTGTGTGTGTGTGCGTTTGAAGGGTGGCAGACGGGCTCGTCAGCAGATTTGTAACGACCGGGAGCGGGAGCGGAAATTGAACCAGAATTCACTCAATTCACTCAATTCACTCAATCGAAAAAAAAAAAAAAAAAAAAAAACCACTCAGACTTGAACTCAAACGTCACTGAATCTTCTGCCGCTTTGTTTGTGGTGCTGTGCAGGAATCGTGTGCCACGTCGCAAAGGCAGAGGATCGCAAGCGTCTCGTCCAAGAAACACTGAAATCGTACGGCAACATTGACATTCTCGTCTCCAACGCCGCAGTCAACCCGGTGTTTGGCAGCATGCTTGAGGTACGAGATGGGTTGCTTTGCCATTTTTTTGCAAGACGGTGGATGGCGCGGTGGTACTTTTTTGGTTGGCAGCAGCAAACGAAGATTGGCCAATCCAATGGGTCGAAGTTCATCGTGATTGCGGGTGAACTTGAGCTGCATGCCACCTCTTCCCCCCCCCCCTCCCCATTGCGTTTCACAAGCCTCACAGCCCGCAATCCACCTTGGTACTTTTGCTCCACTCTCAGACTGATGAAGCCGCCTGGGACAAGATTTTCGAGGTGAACGTCAAGTCCGCCTTCTTGCTGACCAAAGAAGTGGCACCCCACCTCAAACCCAACCGCGGCAGCGTGGTCTTTGTCTCGTCGATTGGCGGGTTTGCCCCGTTCGAGGCGTTGGGCGCCTACTCGGTCAGCAAGACTGCGCTGTTTGGCTTGACCAAGGCATTGTCGCGCGAGCTGGGTCCCCGTGGCGTCCGCGTGAACTGCATTGCACCGGGCATCATCAAGACGCGCTTTTCTGAGGCGCTGTGGAAGAATCAACAGATTGCCGACCGCAGCCTGGAAACAGTGCCGCTGGGCCGATTCGGCACCCCCGAAGAGTGTGCCAGCACCGTGGCCTTCCTGGCGTCGGATGATGCCGCCTATGTCACTGGCGAGAGCATTGTCGCGTCCGGCGGCATGCAGAGCCGTCTGTAGATTTGCTCTTGTTGGGGGTTTTGGTGTATTGCTGCACGAGGTGGAATCCCCCACCCCCATCCTGTGCAGCTGTTGTCTGGCCACTGCTGCTGCTCCAAGCTGTGCGATGTGTTATGTGGCTGTTTCCTTGATGATGCTTGTTGGATTGAGTTTTTTTTTTTTTTTCGGTTTTGTTTTGTTTTGGAGTTTCTGATCGAAACCGGTTTTCCGTTTTTTTTTTTTTTTTTTTTTTTTTGTTTGTTTGTTTGTTTGTTTGTTTGTTTGTTTTCTGTCTCTGCGTCCCACATCAACTCGATCGTGTTGATCTCTTTTCCTCATTCATCTCAGCAGTTTCAACATCTGAATTGAATCTCAATTTCAATTTTCAACACTAACTCATTTCATTTTCAGTTCAGTCGTTTAAATTTTCAATTCAAGCAAAATCTACACAAAATGGTAAAAAATCTTTTTCTTTTTTTTTTTCTTTTTTTTTTTTTCTTGTGGTTTATTATTTTTTGATTTTTTTTTTTTTCCTCCTTTGAATCTCCATTGTGCTGACCTTTTTTTTTTTTTTTTCTTTTTTCTTTTCTTTTCATTTTTGATTCCAAACAGTCCAAGCTGTCCGAGGACCAGATCGCCGGTAACGTCAAATCGCTGCTCTCCTCCGCCGTGTCCCTTCTGCATTACGTCTTTGCCTTTCTCTCGTGCTCGCTGTTGCTGTCTCGGCTCTCAAAAGCAACAACGGATACAAAAAAAAAAAAAAAAAAAAAAAAAAAGCCAAAATTCCTGCTCAAACAAATTACAATGGATTCTTTTTTTTTTCTTTTTTTTTTTTTTTTTTTGGTTTTCTTTTTGTTTTCAAAAAAGGCGAGGCGGTTTAGATCACGGCGAGACGCGGGGTGGTGGTTGCTGCGAGTGGGGGTGCAGCTGTGGGGCGATTGCTGACGTGCACGCAGCTCGCTTCTCGCCGTGTGCTGCTGCTGCTCGACGCTCGACTGACTGCTCTCAATCGCATAACGACAAAAGTTTCGCCATTTTTTTTTTCTTTTCTTTTTTTTTTTTCTTTTTTCTTCTTCATTTTTTTTTTTTTCCTTTTTGTTTGCGATCGTCGATTGTCCGTTGCTGCTGGCTGCAAGTGCCTGCTGCGATGGTGTCGCTGTCATGGGTGTCATGGGTGTCGTGTGTGTTGGGTGTCGTGCGTGTGTGTGCTCTGCGCTCGTTGACGCTGCTTCTTTCATTCAATCTCATTCTTTTGCTTTCTTTTATTTTATTGTATTTTTTATTATTTTTTATTATTTTTTCGCCTTCCAAAACAAGGGTTTGTTGTTCCATGCCTTTTTTTTTTTTTTTTTTTTTTTTCGTTTTGATTCTCCATTCTTTTCTGAATCACAGACCTTTTCGCTGTTTCTCAACTCACCCTCTTGTTGTCTGTCATCACTCATTCAACCCGCAGACTACAAGGAAACCTTCCTGCTGTTCGACAAGAAGGGCGACAACAAGATTGCCCTCTCGGACGTCGGCCGCACTCTCCGCTCGATTGGCCAAAACCCCCTCGAGTCGGACGTCAAGAAGATTTGCGACGAGATCGACCCCACAGGTAAAACACCGAGCGCAGCGCATTCTCCTCAGTGAGCGGAGCGAGCCCGCGGAGGAGGGGGGCGGTTTGTTGGGCGATTTTGATGCTTTTTTTACTCACTCTCAGTCTCACCCTCGCTCCCACCTCACAGGCCAAAAGCGAGTCGCCTTCGAGCAGTTCCTCCCTTACATCACCCGCCCCACCAAGGAGCCCGGCAATGCTGACGACTTCATCGACGGTCTCCGCGTTTTCGACAAGGATGGCAACGGCTTTATGAGCGCTGCTGAGCTCAGGCACGTCCTCACCTCGCTCGGTGAGCGCCTTACCGACGACGAGGTCGATTCGCTCCTCGTCGGCGTCGAGATTGACAAGGATGGTGGCATCAACTACGAAGGTAACGCGTCGTGCTCGAGTTGAGGGGTTTTTTTCCTTGTTTTCTGCTCTGTGATTCTTGGTACTCATTCTTGTCTTTTGTCGTGGCCTTCAGACTTTGTCAAGCACATTACCACTTACGTGTAAAACAGAATTTCCTCCCAACTCAGAGCTTTTTGCAAGGGACGAGTCGTGCTGTCATTTTTTTTTTCGGTTTCCTTTTGTTCCGTCTTTGTGCCGGTTGTTGAAAATACATTTCTTTTTTTTTTTCCTCTTGTTCATGCACAGCGAATCTGTTCTTGGTTGGGGAAACAGTTTTGGCTGGCTCGAGCTCAAAAACAGTTTTTGGCTGAGCGCGAACAATCCCAACATTTGGTTCCATCATGGTTTCCAACGATCATTGTGTGCCTTTGGGAGAACAACGGGTGTGCTTAATTTTATTGGGTACAGTCATAGCAATGGCTATCGACGGCGCGTTCCGCCAAAACCTGCGGCAGTGCGAGTCGTGCCTCCGCCAAAGCCACCGCCCATGCCACCACCGCCCATGCCGCCGCCGCCGTAGCCGGTATAGCGCATTCCGCCACCATAGCCCATTCCGCCACCATAGCCCATGCCGCCACCATAGCCCATTCCGTAGTTGCGTTGGCGTCGGCCGAGCATGTAGCCAAGCAAGCCAGCGCCAGCCGTGCCAAACCAACCGGGACCTCCCGCCGCAGCCGGCGCGGCAGTCTGAGTCGGAGCGCAGCCTAGATGAAAAGCAAAGATGTCCAGTAAACGAGGGGAGGGAAGCGTGAGCACGAAGCATCATCTTCAAAGACAAGTGACAGCCCGTCACAGCAAAACAAACGTACCTGGGTTGGTGCTGCCATAGGGACCACCGCCACCACCACCGCCACCATAGTACGGGCCACTGCCTGCGCTCCATCCGCTGCCGCCAGCACCATAACCTCTATTGCCAAAACAAAACAAAAAAACGAGGTGAGCAGCTACCAAACAAAGCACTGCTCAAAAGCGCAATCAAGCCACCAGAGTCACACAAGGCTTACGGCGAGACGGCACTGACGGTGCACGAACGGTAAATCATGTAGGCGAGGAAAAAGATGATGCCCCACATGAAGAGCGAGCCGAGCGAGTCGCCAGAACCATAGCTGCTGTTGTAATCGTAGCCGCCGTAGCCTCCCGAGGACGAGTAAGAGCGTTGGAAGCCGCCGCCACCGCCACCGCCATGTTGATGCTGCTGGCGACCCTTCTCAGAATATTCGAGCGTGTATTCGACGCCGCAGCTTCCTTTCAGAATGTACCTGCGTTTGACCGAGAGTTTGCGTTTTCTGGGGGGTGAGTCTTTTCTTCTGATTGAATTAGCTTGAACGTGCTGTAGGAGAGAGAGCGCTTACGGATCGTCGGGATACTGGTAACCTTCGCAGGTGACCGTCGTCTCGCCAAATCGGAAGCTGTCGCTCAAGTCGGCCTCGCACTTCCATTGAACATCCGTGCCATCCGAGCCCATGTTCTTGCACTGGATGGTTTGCGGGGTGAACTGTCCGCGTGCGCTTCCACCAACGCAATTGACCTGTTGTACCAGTTCATCGCTCATGTGGGTGAGCAAATCCGTTGAGCTCGCTCGGGGGTGCGATTTTCGGAAGTTTGTGTGCCTCTTCCTTCTTTCCAATATTCCGGTATTCTAATATTCCAATATTCCAATATTCCAATATTCCAACACTATTTTGTTGTTGGAATCTTACGTGGCAGACGTTCACATCAAAACAAATGGCATTGAACTTTGAATGGGTGAGCATTTCGAAAACCACACACCAACGAATGCGACCCTCGCTCTCTCGCTCTCTCTCTCTCTCTCTCCACAAGTCTCGGATTCGACCAACGCTTGCTGTTTGCGGGTTGGTTGGTTTGCAATAGACGCGCGTCTGAACCTGCACGGTGTGCTGCACGGATGACGCAGGAACTCGCCTTCTCTCGCCTTCGCTTCGCCTCCTCAACCCCCAACCGCCAATCCTGGCTTGGTGTGCGTTCCAACCTGAGGCACGGGCGAGGAACGACGGCCGGTCGTCATCTGGCCATGGCGCAGCGTCAGCACGCTCACGTCCTTGAGGAGCACCGAGTCCTTGGCTCCCCACGCATCCGCAACGCCGCCGCTCGCCAATGCAACGGCAGCCAAAAGCACTGCCGCCAATTGACAATGCATTTGCAGAAGAAAAAGAAAATCAAGAGTGAAGATCAATCTATTCTTGTGAAAATAATTCTGATTGTTGCATGCGGTGGGAGCATTGAAATCAAAACTCGAGCTGCACGAAATGCTCAGCGTTGCGTTGAATCAAAGTCCAGTTTGGTTGCTCCTTGAGTGCTGTCACTTGAACAGCATCATTGAAACGGTGTGATCTTCATTTGGTCAAGAGAAGTGGTCGAAATTCGGCCGCCGAGTACGTCATTGAGGCTGCAAGCATGCTTTACAGCACCCATTGTTTCGCATTCAGAACAGCTTCTGATCTTGTAACATCCACGAGTTTTTCGCTCCTGATCAATGTTACAGCACAGAAAATCCAACTGTCAAAGTAATTCCAAGACAATAGAGCCGATTGTGTGGGCAAGTTCTTTTTTTTTTTTTTTTTTTTTACCGTCTAAAGCTTTATTAAGAATAACAAAGAAAAAAGAACGTAGGATATGAGACAGTTGAATGTCGTCATAACGCACACCAGTGAAGGCATGCGGGGAGAGTGCTCAAGAGCTCACAGAGGAACTCGAACAGATGATCAGCCGGGCTGACAATGGAAGGATCAGGCATTCCCCACCTATACACCACGAAAGACATGTTGCTAGCCAACACGGTTCACAAACAAGTAGACGGCTGGCAGGCGGTGGGACAGCACACTGTCGTAAGGAGCGACAATTCAGAAACGGTCAACCGCTTTACACACAATTTGCGGGTACTAGGTGTACGCGAGGGCAAACAGTTGTGTGGAAAGACGTTCATTGTACCGGATTTCAAAAGCCTTTCCCCACCTGCTTTCGAAGGGGGGATGCTCTTGCTCATCAGTATGGAGAGGGGCGGCGCCAAAGTCGTCGCCGTCGTCGTCAGTCCTCCAGGGATTGGGGAGGGGTTTGGTAGAGTGCTCGAGGCGCGCTGCCAGTGTGATGAGGTACCGAAAGCGGAGGACCGCGTCGGCGGGGGTGAACACTGTGTTGTCGAACTTGGCAGTGCAGCGCAGCGTCCAGAGAGTCCAGCGGGCAGTGTGCATGACGATGGTGAGGCAAGCGAGTGCTTCGTCTTTCATCAAGGCGTGGTAGCGTTTGTTCTTGATAGGGCCAAAGAGCCATTGCGAACGCTGTCTAGGGAACCAGGGGCCTTGCGCGTGGCTGAACAGCGTTTCGGCCTCGCGCCAGACCGCCACAGCCAGGGGGCAGTGGACAATCATGTGCAGCCAGTTTTCGAGAGGGGCACGGGTGCCATGAAGTCGGAAGCAGTGGACGCAGGCGAACGCGCCACTGTGTGACTCCTCGCGGAGTTGTTCGTTGGTGAGCTTGTCGCGGCGAGACAGCAGGCGAATCTCACCCAGGTACTCGGTGTTGTGAGCGATGCGCCAGATGAGGCCGGCACGGTTGCGCGGGACAAGATTGGTCATCATGTTGCGGCGCAGTTTGGACCAGTTCACGGGTCCTAGGATTTGCTCCCACTCGACCAGGGCAGTTGGTTTGACCGGGGCGGGCGTGAGCATGTGGCGAAGATTGCGCAGCGATGCGTCAGATGAGGGTGCATCGCACAATGTGCACGCGCTTTTTGCACTCCTCGATGTGTTTGGGGTAGAGTGCCAGCCAGTAGCGG